AATTTTTTCCAATTAATTAATAAAAGCAACAAGTCACAAATATTAATTTGTCGAGATCAATTCACATGCTTTACTATCATATGTTGAAATATCGAAAACAAGTAAATTGCAAGAATTGTAAAGTACACCCTTATTTTATGATGGAGAAACCCCAATGTGGGTAAAACTCGGGGCCCAAGCTAGTATAAATCCACTATAAATGAAGAAATCACTTACAATTCATCAGACTCAAACCACAATAGTTTTTTCGACCTCCGGATTGTAGTATTTCTGAAAGCTTTCTTGGAACGCATGATCCTACACCAACTCTCGGCTCCTAGCCCTCCTGGATTGCTTGCTACACCAATTCCTAGCTCTTGATTTCTTCTATCTCATGTTGATTCAAGAGAACTCCCCGTTCTCTAATGATCAAAAGCCCCATCTCCTTCTTTGATCTTCAAGATTCAACAAATGTGTTATGGTGTTTGAAGAAAGTGATTTTGATGTTTTTATGTGATTGCGCTCAAAGAATGTAGGATCGAATGAATGAATCAAAGAGCAGTAAGTTTTTCTACAAGTTCAATCCTTAAGAAAAATCTGAAAAAACAACACAATATTTATATGGGATGTTTTTGGTCATATGGGTCAAAATCTCAAAAAATAAAAAAGGAAAATAGGGTTCTCCAGGTAACGCTTTCACTTGAGCGATGCTGTTTCGCTCGAGCAAAGTAGGGGCGATAAGCGAGAGAAAGGCTTTCTGCTTTTGACGCTTGAGCAACCACTTGGCGTGCAGCTAGCGAAACATCAACGACACATCTTGCCCTACTTAACAACTCGAACCCTAACATACTTTGACAAAATTGCGACTTAGTCTCCCATCTTTTACACATGTACAAATTGAACCCTAACTTTTAAACATTGACAAATTGACCCCAAACTTTTAAATAATTACAATTTGACCATTTTGTTCACAGAATTGCCAATTCAAAATCTAACATTTTGCAAAGAAAAATATTAGATATGCTCTAAAAAGTATTCGTCGATATTTTTTTCGATTTTTTAACAAAAAAAAGTGTACTAGTTGTTCATGGTTATGAAATAGCAGTAGGTAACTTGCAAATTTAATTAGAAAACATAGCACAACATATCAACTTTATAGAATGTTATTTATGCAGTATATGTTTCGTTATTCTTTTCCTAATTATTTTTCAGAAGAACTTGCATTTATTTGTGAATTCTTAAGAAATAATGGTATGCATAATGCACGCGGCATAATTACATTACGTATCAACAAGGTTTATTTTATAAAATTGTCAAAGGGTGATATATTGGAGCATTTAAGAACCATAGTGACAAATGAGTTTGGTAGCTTTATAAGTTTCCTACAAGAGAGCTCATCAATGTGTACCAGTCAAGTTTTGTACCTGAATTATAAAATTTTACAATATCAAAATTTAAATTATTTTTCTTACATTATGTTCCCTATTTGAATTCTAATAGAGAATTGAGAATTCTTATGTGTCAAGTGTGAGGGCACAAGCTCAACAATTGTTTAGTAATCTGATATATTTTGGGCACTTACTAATTTCAATTTTCCATTTAGAGGAATTTTAACAATATTTCACGATTTTTATGTAACTATATATTAGGCTAGTCAAGTGCAGAACTTGTATCTATAGGATATTCTCATTTAGTCAAAATAGGGGATTCTTCGAGTTCTACGAAAAAGTGACTCGTTGGTTTTTTAGGGTTAGGATTAAAAAAGGACCAGCCGACTAGTTATAGGACTAAGTCGAAGTGCAGCACATATTCATTCTCAGTTACTCTGTTTGTTGCGAGAGATAAGTAATTAATAGCATTTGTTTTTCTATTGGCAGTTTGTTACACCCCCCTCATTATAGTCAAAGTCAAGAAATTATTTAGTTAAAGTAAAAAATTCAATAGGGACAAATACTAATATTAAAAGGGGTTAGAGATAAAATAATGGGATTACGCAGTGCAATTTTTTATTTATTTATTTATTTATTATTATTATTATTATTATTATTATTATTATTATTATTATTATTATTTTGTGAGAGAGGAGGAGAAAAGAGAGAGATAAATGTAAGGGATAATGATTGTCACATTATCGATGTTCCATCATCATGATGATAAATAAGATTATTCTTATCTGAATTGGACTAACCAAAGGAACAGAATTATTTCAAGAGAAAATTGTAGCCCGGTCCCTAGCCTTTTTTAATTTTTATAAACTTTACCCTAACTTACAATTTGTGTCAATGAAGATCCCTAACCCTTTCAGAGATATGCAGCAAAAGTCCATATACACGGAAACCATCCAGTTGACCAAAATTTTGATTTTGACAAAATTTGATAAGAACAAAATGGTAACTTTGCTATTTTTTCACGTGAAACAATTAAATAATTAAAACAAAGCATAAAGACTTATTTTAGCCCCATTTTTTAGCCAAAAACGCATTTTGGAATGGTGATTTTATAGAGGATATGTGAATGAAAAAATAAGAAATTTCTTTAAATTTATGTGTAATATTATTTTATCGAAGAACATGTGGTGAATA